TGCCCACTCAGAACCTGCACTCACCACATTGCCACGTAGGCCACCTCACGGTTGTCCATGAACGGCACAGGCGGCCTCTCAGGCGGCAGGAAAGCTCTGTGTGTAATGAGTCTATTTTTGAAGAAGAGAACCCCAGTGAGGATCCATTGTCGTGTTGGGAAAAAATTTACCCAAGGAGAAGTGGTGGAAATATTGAGAGATACCCTGATGGTCGGATAAGCGCAGACACGCTTTGATAAAAGACGTGTGGAACTTCAAATATTTCAAGATCTTCACAGTCGCTTGGCAAGACACCCTTGCCACCTCATCTTGCCACACGACTTTGAACATCTCGAAATATTTGAAGTTCCACACGCCTTCTATCACTGCGTATCTGTCCTTATCGACCATCAGGACATCTCTCGATATCTCCACCACTTTTCCTAGCATGATTTTCCACACAATTTTAGTTTCTGTGTCTTCTCCAGCCTCCGCTTGCTTTCGCCGTCCTCCATGCCCATCTTCAACCCCGGCCTCTTGCTCCTCCTCTTGGCTCTACAACTCCATGCTCTCGTCTCTTCCGCCTCTGCTCTTGCCCTTCCTCCTTGGCTCCGCATCTTCGTACTCTCACCCAAACTCAAAACTCACCGTGTGGCCACATGAGCCAGCTCAGGGTCATCAACAAACCACATGAGGAGTCGCACATGGGGCAGGAAAAGAACATCCACTTTTAGTTTAAAAAGTTAACCCACCTAACTCTAAACTCATCGCGTGGCCACAAGAGCCAGCTCGGGTTGTGAAGAAACGCACAGGCATGCTTTCATGGGGCAATAAGCTGCACGGATACTCACATACGGTCACCAGAATGCACACCCAACAAAGGATTGACTGGGCACTCACCGCGTGGCCCATCAGCCAACTCGGGGACGTCAATAAATCGTCGGGAGAGTCGGTCATGCTGCAGGAAGCTGCAAGGGCGCTCGAAGTGGGTATAGGCTGTGCCAAAGGTCCAGAAGAAACCATGTACCCACCCAAAACCTGTACCCACCTGGATCCCGAACTCACCGTTGGCCAAGTAGGCCAACTCGGGGTCGTCAATGAAGCGCACGGGCGGCCTCTCATGGGGCAGGAAGCTGCGGGACCGCATGAAGTGCGCACAGGTCACTCTGAAGGTCCGGCCAGACCATGTGCCCACCCGGACCCTGCACTCACCGTGGTGGCCACATAGGCCAACTCGGGGTCGTCAATGAAGCGCACGGGCGGCCTCTCATGGGGCAGGAAGCTGCGGGATCGCATGAAGTGGGCGTATGCTGCTCCAAATGTCCCTCTGCCGCACAGCTCTGCTGCTTCCAGTGTGGCGTCTGGTCACGCGGGTCTCTCCTCTAACAGTGCCTGGTGGTGATGGCAGCAGGGGAATGGGTAAAGAGAATGGGTAAAGAGAATGGGTAAAGAGAATGGGTAAAGAGAATGGGTAAAGAGAATGGGTAAAGAGAATGGGTAAAGAGAATGGGTAAAGAGAATGGGTAAAGAGAATGGGTAAAGAGAATGGGTAAAGAGAATGGGGTAAAGGGAATGGTAAAGAGAATGGGTAAAGAGAATGGGTAAAGAGAATGGGTAAAGAGAATGGGTAAAGGGAATGGGTAAAGGGAATGGATAAAGAGAATGGGTAAAGAGAATGGGTAAAGAGAATGGGTAAAGGGAATGGTAAAGAGAATGGGTAAAGAGAATGGGTAAAGAGAATGGTAAAGAGAATGGGTAAAGAGAATGGTAAAGAGAATGGGTAAAGAGAATGGGTAAAGAGAATGGGTAAAGAGAATGGGTAAAGGGAATGGATAAAGAGAGCATATGAAGCGAGCATAGGCTGCTCCGAATGTCCCTCTCCCCTTAAAACCCCCTTCTCCCCCCTCGCACTCACCCTGTCTTTATCACACCCTCTCATAAGCACTATACACACCTATACGCATATATACTACTGGGAATAGGCTCACCCTGTCGCACTCACCCTGTCTTCATCTAATTCTCTCATCTGCGCCTTGATTCTCCCAGGCGCCACCCCCCCCAGTCGTCTTCCCCACAGCCGCCACCAGATCCGCCCATGCGGGACTAGCACTATACACACACATATACACACATTCATATCCACAACCAGGACGCAACAACCATACTCACCCTGCCTTCATACACACACATACACACACACACACACACACATATACACACATACACACACACACACACACACACGCATTCATATCCACAGCCAGAAAGCCAACTCACCCTGCCTTCCGCGCACCCCCTCATCTGCTGCCTGATTCTTTCCAGCGCCATTCCCCCAGTCGTCTCCCCCACAGCCGCCACCAGGTCTGCCCGTGCGGGGTTGGCTAATGCGCCCACGGATGCCCCTATGGCCACTGCTGCTCGCTGGAAAGGCGAGAGGGGGATGTGCGTGTCGTAGAGGGGGGCTGGGGGGGGGGAGAGGAAGAAAGAGGGAGGGGGCAGTGTGGGGGGGGGGGAGGGGGAGGAGAGTTTGGGGGGGTTTGGAGCATGAGTGGTGAATCTGCCCGAGCAGGGGTTGCTAGTGCGCCCACTGATGCCCTATGGCGACTGCTGCGCGCTGGAAAGGCGAGAGCAGGATGTGCGTGTCGTAGAGGGGGGCTGTGGGGGGGGTGTGGGATAAGAAGGGGGGGGGAAGGGAGGGGGGGACGGGAAGGGGGTTGGGAGGGTTGGAGCATGAGTAGTGGATTCGCCCCAGGCAGGGTTGGCCAGAGCGCCAACCGATGCCCCTGTAGGGACTGCTGCTTGTTGGAAAGGGGAGAGGGGGGGGTGCGTGTCGTATGGGGGGGCTGGGAGAAAGTGGTTAGGGGAAGGGGGAAGGGGGAGGGAGGAAGGGAGAGGGTATGTGTAAGGCATCCGCCCGTGGGTGACTTTTGACCAGTGCGCCCACCGATGCCCCTATGGCCACTGCTGCGCGCTGGAAAGGCGAGAGGGGGATGTGCGTGTTGTAGAGGGGGGCTGGGAGGGGGGTTAAGAACGGGAAGAATGGAGAGGAGAGAGGAGGGGGTGGGGATTCCCGCGTGGGTAACAGATCCCCCGTGCGGGGTTGGCCAGAGAGCCCACGGATGCCCCTATGGCGACTGCCGCTCGTTGGAACGGGGAGAGGGGGATGTGTGCGAGTCGTACAGGGGGTCTGGGAGGGGGGAGAGGAAGAACGAGGGAGTGGGGAAGTGGGAGGGAGGGAGAGAGGGGGGAATTGGAGCATGAGTGGCAAATCTGCCCGTGCAGGGGTCGCTAGTGCGCCCGCAGTGACTGCCGCGCGTTGGAGAGGCGAGAGGGGGATGTGCAGGGGGCAAGACAGGGGGCGAGTCGTACAGGGGGGCTGGGGAGCGGAGGCTAGGATCTCATTGATCTCAGGGAGGCAGGAGAAGAAGACGGGAGGAGAGAAATTGGAGCATGGGTAATAGATCCGCCCGTGCGGGGTGGGCCAGTGCGCCCACCGATGCTCCTATGGCCACTGCTGCTCGTTGGAAAGGCGAGAGGGGGATGTGCGAGTCGTACATGGGGGCTGGGGTGTGTGTGTGGGGGGGGGGGGGGAGGGAGGGAGGAAGGGGGTGCAAGGGGGGATTGTGCATGAATGTCATCTCCTCCCGTGCAGTCAGTGGGCTGGTTTGTCAGTGGGCCCAACGATGCCCTACTATGGCAAGGGCAGCTAGGGCGAGAGCGGGGTGTGCGGGTCGTGCACAACACAGCACTAAAAGTCGGCATCGAGCCTACCTTTTGAGTCAACTCAAAAGTCACCCCTATGGCAAGGGCTGCTAGGGGGAGAGGGATGAGCAGGCCCTACACAGCACAGCATTATAAATCGACCTCGAGCCTACCTGCTTCCGATCCAGTAGCTACTCCGCGGCACACCATCGGCTGGTGAACTAGATCGACGGCTGCAGGCACCTCGGCGATCGGCTGTCGCGCGTGAGCCGTCCGATGCAGCACGGACGACAGGACGGCACTAGAGGCGGCAGCAGAAGCCGCTGCTCGAGATAACGCCGGCACTGATCGCCGCAGCAGCATCGTTGTGTGCGAAGGACGCTGGCCAATCAGTTCCCTGAGTACAAAATAGGCGAGAAATTTTTGCTGGACTGAACTGAAGAAGGCAGCGGAATATGGAGTTGGCAGCGTCTTACAGAAGATGCGTCAGTAACGTGTGCGAAAGAAGCAAGGGCTTTCAGCTAGACTGAACGCGGCAGTGGAATCTGAAGCGATTGTTTTGAGACGTTGGATGGATGAAGCGATTGTTTTGAGACGTCTCTAGAAACAATGAAATGGAGTTGGACGGAACGCTCACTGGAAGCGCAAGACGCGGAAAGCAGATTCGGGAATATTGTTAGGGCGTGGTACATACAGTTCCTAAATTCGAATCACGGAACTGAGTTCAGAAAACAGAGGTGGGTCACTTTGGACGAAAATGGTATATCGGGTTTCGAAACTCGTATCTGTCCGAATTTCCCACCTGGCACCTACGTCCGGACAGTGGGGATTGGCGTTTGATTTTTCCAGCAACACGAATTGCGATCAGAAACGAAATTAACGAAAAATCTTAAACCAGAGTCATGCCGTACAAAGGCTCGTCAAATTTTGGGTTTGAGGCGATCTGGCTTTGGGACTTCGCCAGGCTGGCTTTGATTGGCCGATGTGATTTCATTTCAACCAGCGTAGTGTGACAGCATCTACTTCTCGCTCATTTCGCCGGGGGTAGGAGAACGGGGGGGGAAGTCCTGTTCGGAAGTGGTGGGGAGGCCGTTCGGATACCCCTGTCCGGACAACGATGGTAACCTGTTTTACCCAACGAGGCATTTGTCGCAAACTGACTCGAGACGGCTCTCCCGACATTCGTACCATACTTTTTGCTTACACTTGTCCGGACAGCGGCCAGTTACGGAACTGTATGTACCACGCCCTTTGTCCCAGCCTTGGGACAGACGTTTGCCAATCAGGAGGCGGAAAATGGAGAACGCGAAAATCAGCGAAACCAGAAGGCTACTTCTCCTCAGCATTCACGGCGCGAAAGGCTGGCGAAGCCACCAGATGTTAAATGTAACGTCCATATTTTATGGAATGATAAATTGGAAGTGCAGTGTCTGCAGATCATCTATTACCTCTTGTGATGTAATAATGTGAAAGAACTTCCTGAATTTTTACAGGTGCAACTAACCTATAATCAAGTCATATTACAGATGGAAAAAATGTGTAGGTTATAAACACATTGAAACCGTATCCATGAGATCCTAGCCTTCGCTGGTAATAGTAATGAACCCTTTCCCGCCTTTCTGGAACATGAGTTTCTACCGACACTCACCCCCCCCCCCCCCCCCCCCCCCTCGGTAATATCAATAAGATTCCAGCCCCCACTGGTAAAAATGGAAATTCCCCCCACCCCTCACTCCTCTTTACAGATTCTTCGAGCAGCAGCAAGCCCCTTTTATCGACACTCATCCCCCCAGTCACCAATCAAAGCTCTGAGGGCACATCCTCCACTGGTAACACTGGCTGTGCTTGTCAAGATAGTGTCAACAAATATATTTATACTGCTCACTAACTTAACATGTGGTTGCGCTCCCAGCGGCCACGGGTTTCGTCGACCCTCCTCTGAACCTGGTCTCCTGGTGACACGTCTGCATTCCACATCTGGAGCAGCCTTGCTCACGTCCGCGACACTCGTGCTGACAAGCTCTCAGCCCGCACCCTTCATTGTGCTTTCCTAGGTTTTCTGCTTGACGCCTCTGATAGGCAGTTCTACCACCCATCACATCATGGCGTTTATCACTCTCGTGACGTTATCTTCGACGAGACACTCCCCTACTACCAGTGCTTCCCGCATCGCAGCGCTCATTTGCCTCCTCCTCCTCTCTTCCTTGTCCCTACACCGACTGCCGCACCCCTCCCGCCCCGCCCGGCCCAGTCTGATGTCTCCCACGCCACTCAGTTCCCCTCGGTTGCGCATGTGGGGGAGTCGGCTAACTCTGGGGGCCAGCTGCTGGGGGCGTGCCTGCTGTCCCCATGGCGCCTCCGCCAGCCTCGGTACCCCAGTCTCCTCACCCGACTCCCCCCTTGCCTCAGCAGCAGCAGCAGCTACCATAGTAGACTCAGTGGTCGCAGCAGCAGAGAATAGTGGGCTCTGGGGGTACTAGTTCTAGCGGTGCTGGTGTTGGAGGTATTGGTATTGCGGGTGTTGGTTCTAGAGTGCGAGTTCTAGGGGTGCTGACTCCGGGGGTGCTGGTTCTGTGGGTGGTGCGTCCAAGGGTGCTAGTCTTGGGGGTGTTGTTTCAGGGAGTGCCGATGGCAGCTGCGGTGCTGCTGGAGGTCCTGGAGAGGACAGAGAGCAGCTGCAGCCGTGGCAGCAGGCGAAGCAGCAGCAGCAGGCGCAGCCGCCGCAGTAGGAGTAGCTGCATTGTGCCCTTCGTCTCCTTGGTCTTGCTCCAGGTTCCCCTGTCCGCCCGTCCGTCCCCCCTCCGGTGCGTGACCCTATTTCTGGCCCGTTGTTCCCTCCTCCGGACGCCTCTCCGATTCGTTTTCCCCCGCTCTCCCCTCCGTCCCCTGACTTATCCCCCATTCCCCCTCGTTCCCAATCCCCAGTTCTTCCCCACTAGGTCTGTCACCCCTCTGGTGCTCATGCTGTCTCTCCCCGTCCTAGTGTCCACTCTATGGTTCTTCGTTCGCGTGCTCCTCCAGTCACATTCCTCCCATTGCCTCCCCCATCGTCGCCCCCGTCGTCCCCCCCCCCCTTAGCTCCGACGTTGCTCGAACTGCTCGCCCTACCCTCTTGCGCTTGCTTGCGTCGCTTGTCACTGACCCTACTGCTCCTCTTAAGTCTGTCTGTGCGCTTGTCGCAACTGTTTCCAACTTTGCTGCTAGCCACCGCCTTGATTACGCTGCCGCTCTTGTCTCTGGTATTGCCCGTCCTCTGTCCGTCGGGGGTGCACCTGTCCTTGGCAGTGACGTGCTAGATGATAGGCAGTACGAGTTGGCCTGACTTGCTGCCGTTGTTCCCCATCTCTGCTCCATGCTTGTATCCCCAGAGGGCGACCCAGATGCTCTCGACATCCCAGTTCCGTGCTCTTACACTGAGGCGGTGTCGGGGTCCTGGGCAGCCTAGTGGATACAGGTCCTGGAGGTTGAGATGGCATCCTACAGATCCACAAGCACTTACACTACGTCGACGCAGTTCCCTCGCCTGGGGCGAACGTAGTTGATGGCATGCGGATCTACAGGGTGAAGCGTGCACCTGGAGTGCCGCTGGAATTCAAGGCGCATTACGTGGCTAGAGGCATCAATCAGCATGAGGGTGTGAACTTCTTCCAGACATTCTCCCCAAACCCGAAGGTGACTACATTTCGGGTCCTTCTTCACATAGTCGCGCAGTGTGAATACGAGCTTCACTCACTCGACTTCTCCACATCATTCCTGCATGGTAGTCTGCACGAATAGATCTATATCTGGCGCCCTCTAGACTTCTCTGGGTCATTCTTATCTAGACCGAATGGAGCCTGCGTAGTCCTGTCTACGGCCTTTGTCAGGCACCCCGTGAGTGGCACGACACGCTTCGCACCACTCTTGCTGAGCTGCAGTTCTTTCCGTCCTCTGCTGACCCCTTTCTGATGTACCGTTCTACATTCTAGTGTGCGTAGAGGATCTTATCTTTGCTACCCCTGACAGAGTCGCGCTGGCCTCGGTGAAGGCCAAGGTACACCTGTACAGACTTGGGGGAGCTGAGACGCTCTCTTGGCTTGGAGATCTCGCGTGACCATGCCGCTCGCACGATCACCCTCTCCCAGACCCATATGGTGCACGAGATTCTCAAGAGGTTCACTATCCAGTTCTTCTCAGCACAGCCCACTCCTCTGCCTGTGGATAGCTCTCTGATTCTGTTCCGGCTCTTTCGGTCGAGGCTAGTGGTCCATACGCAGAGCTGGTGGAGTGCATCATGTACCTGATGGCCTGCACTTGACCAGATCTAGCGTACCCTCTCAGTCTCTTGGCTCGTTTTGTTGCGACAGGTAGGCACCGACCAGTCCACTGGTCAGCTGCCAAGAGGGTACTGTGATATCTAGCGGGTACATCAGGACTGGAGCTTGTGCTAGGAGGACGGGAGTCAGTGGTGCTCACTAGAGACACGGACGCGCCATGGGCTGACGACGTGGAGACGCTCAGGTCATCTCAGGGCTACCGTTTTAGTCTTGGTGCTGTTGGAGTCTCGTGGAGGTCCATCAGGTCGTCGTCTGTAGCTCAGTCCAGTTGTGAGGCAGAGATCTACGCTGGGGCCATAGCCGCTCAGGAGCTCCGCTGGCTGACGTTCTTGCTCAAAAACTTAGGTGAGCTACCTAGGTCTGCCCCGGTCCTGTTTGCTGACAACAGGGCCATGATCCTCTTGTGTCAGGAGGCTCGAATTGAGGGCAGGGCGGAGCACATCCAGCTGCGGTACTTCCATTTACGTGAGTTGCAGCAGCGCGGCCAGGCTCGAGTGGTACTGTTGGCCTCAGAGGCCAACACCGCTGATATCTTCACCAAGGCACTTGCGCCTCGTGACCATCAGCAGTTTTGTACTCTGCTTAGTCTCGTTTTCGTTGCAGCACCACTCCTTGTATCCTAAGTAATACTATACATGTTTGTACTTGTTGTTCTATACCTGCTTGCCTTGCTACACTTGGTGACTAGCGTTGTGGTCTCTTGTCTCAATGGTCAGACTAGTAGTGCTGCCTTGGTGTATTCTGCCTTGTTATGAACTGCCACTATCTAGGCTAGGGGGTGTGTCAACAAATATATTTATATAAATTAGCTAGTTCATATTTGTTTTTAGCCTAGCTAGTTTAGTTCTTTGCAAGTACAGCCCTAGTTTTGTATCCCTCAACATTTTCCCTTAGTCACACTTATCCCATTGCTCTAACAGGTAGAGCCTTCTCTACCTGTACTCATCCCCATAATCGCTAGTGAGAGTAATGAGATCGCAATGTTTGCTGGTTGTTGGGCTGAGAAAAGCCCTTAGGATCTTTTGCAGAGACTAAGTCCCAGCTTGTAGAGACTTGAGACTTGGAGTAGTGCAGCGGAAATTGAGACAGTTGAACCCTTGTACTAGTATGTGAGAACAAGTGATTGATTAAAGAAACAAGCATACAGCAATATATAGAAGATAAGAAAGCAGTTGTAGAATACAGTTACAGGAACGGTTTATCGAGTCGCACAGCGACTCGATTGCCGCTTCGGTTACCATCCGTGATGTTGTAACGGTCAGTCGTAACCTCCAGTTGCGACCTTTCGAGTCCTTTCGCATTCTTTGTCCGCCCCCTCGTGTAACCTCCGTTGACTCG